GAAAAAAAAAAAATAGCAAAAAAAAAAAGCCGTGCGGATTGATCCGAGCGATATTTTTGGGTAAATACAATCACGTGAGGCGCGGGCAGCCAATGGCGCGGTGGGAACGGGCTGGAAAAAATAATTACCTGCCCTGATTGTTCTTGTGAGCGGATAAAAAGTACACATAGACTTCATCCAATAATCCGATGAATGTAAAACAGGGGCCGAGTCAGCCATGTCGGCTTCGGGCCCCATCAGCAATTACTACGTGGATTCTCTGATCGCGCACGACAGCGAGGAGCTGCTGGCGCCGCGTTTCGCCGGCGCGGGGCCCGCTCGCCCCGCGGGTTTGGTCCCGGAGTGCGGCGATTTCCCCGCCTGCAGCTTCGCCCCCAAAGCGCCCGTGTTCGGCTCCTCCTGGGCGCCGGTGGCATCGCAGCCGCCCGTGCCTTACGCGCACCCGGGCGGGCATTACGCGCCTCAGGCGGCCGAGCCGCGCTACGTGCGGAGTTGGCTGGAGCCGCTCGCCGGCGCCGTTTCGTTCCCCGCGTTCGGGGCTCGGCCCTACGGGCTCAAAGCGGACGCGTTCGCTCCGCGGAGAGCGGAGTGCGGCCCCGCCGATGCGCGCGCCTACGCGGATTTCGTGTACGCGGCTCCCGGGGAGCTGCGAGACAGAGCGGCGCAGACAATCCCGTCCTCCCCGGAGTCCGAGGCCATCGCCGCCGGCAAACACAAAGAAGAAAAGCACGAATTAGACCCCAGTAAGTCCAAGTCATTCTTGTTTACGACCGCGGAAGGCATTTCGGCTTCCAGGAGCCCACTCAATAAAATGAAATTACCTCAGAGAGGAGAGGAGAGGGACAGAGAGAGAGCGCGACCCTAAAACTCCCAAAATCCCGGCCCCCGCCCGCTCCGCACTTTGTTCCGGGGCTCTTTATTTTTATTTTTATTTTTCATTTATTTTTCTCGATTTTCCCCTTTTTTTATATATATATAAAAAAAATTTATTCCGCTGGAGGAGCTGCTTTGATCCCCCCCCATCCCCATCACCATCACCCCTTTCCACGGGGGCTCGAAATGATCATAATTAATAGAAATTAATTAATATAATTAAAAGAGGAATTCCCCCCGCTCCGCGCGCGCGCTCCCAGCTCCCCCCAAAAAATTCCAAATTCGCACTTTCCAGGAACAAGGAAGAGTTGGGAGATGCCCGCCAGCGATGCGGATGTGGGGGCGGTTTTTTGGGTTTTGTTTTGGGGTTTTTTTTTTAATTTTGATTTTGATTTTGATTTTTTTAGGGAGGGGAAGGGAAACCTCCCTGACAGGAACCCCTTGATCTCCCCGCAAAATCA